ATTGAACTAAATTGTCCATTGCCTGTCAATTTGAAGACAATTATTTTTTCAAATAATTAGCAGATATTAAAATGTATCTACGAATACATAACGTCCTGTAAATTTAAATTATAAGTAGTTTTAGGTGTTAAAATTAAAAATTGTAAATATGTCAAAAATTGAATGTGAATACCAACATATTACTCCCTTTAAATTTAGATTATAAATAGGCTTAGGTAATAAAATAAAAAATTGTAACTTCAACTACCACAAATAGTCTGGCTAATTGGCTATTCCAAAGTCATTATGCAATAAAATAAATTATTTATCTTAAAAACAATCAAGTTTCCAAAAATCTATAAGAGACTTATTTTGTTCAGAATGATCAAAAAAATTAAAATAATTTGTCCGGACCGAAAAAAATTCGTTACAATTTGTTTAACAATTGTTTTTTCGTCTGGGCGACCTCTTTAACCTTATTTTGGGGTATCTCATCATGAAAGTGATTATTCAAAAAAATCTCACGGGAATATTATTCCGATCGAACCCGAGCTTTTCGTCTTGTCTTAAATGTACAGGGTTTCTCATTATGTTTTGACCCCCAGTTATTTTCCTTAATTTCGGGAATACAAAAAAAGTTTCAAATAAAAGTTGTATTATTTTATCTTCACCGACCAACAGTGTAGCAATAGACCAAATTTTGTATACAGGGAATGCCCAATAAAATGCATCTTCAATATTTCAAATTGGACACCCTGTATTTTTTTTTATAGTTTTGAGTAGCCCTGCATTTCCTGATTACAAATATATAATATAGTGTAGCATTAGTTTTGTTCTATAATGGGGTATGGTACTACTATACTATACTAAGATAAGAAAAAAATATATTTAGAAAATCAACAGAATTAATGACTTACAATACTACATTTAAGATTACAATAGATGCTCAAAGCGTCCTCCATTGTTATTAATGCCCAAGTAATATCTGCGTCTCAAATTTTCTAATGCGTCAGATATTGTGTTATTATGACCATTTAAATTTTCAATTTCCGCGCGAACTTTTGCCGTCATAGTGTTACTAATTGTATTTGGGTCAAAATATACTTTTTCTTTTAAAAACACCCCATAAAAAGCTATCACATGGTGTTAAGTCGGGACTATTTCGAGGCCATGTAATGGTACCCTTATTGCCGATCCACACATTAAATTGATTATTTAAATGTTCTGAACGGCTACGATATTATGTGGTGGTGCTCCATCTTGTTGCCATATCATACTGTTTAATTGATTTTGTATATAATTTTGTTTTAATAACTCATCCACTTCTGTAATGACCGTGTCCAAATATGATTCCTCAATTAATTTATAATCATAACACATTGGTCCAACTATTTTGTTTAGAAATATTCCGCACCACACATTTGTTGATTTTCTTCCTGACTTTTTTATTTGCTTAATTTTTCTTTTTCTATTGTTTTTCTGTTCCCACGAATACCGACCTATTTCTTCTATTAAAAAAATGCCTGAAGTTGAAAAATTTGGTTCATCTGTCCATAAAATGTTATAAAAATAATTAGGATCGTTGTTCAAATTTGTAAGCATGTCTTGACAGAACTGTAAACGCTTTCTCTAATGAACATCGGTAAGTTTTTGTACCGGTAATATTTTCTACGGCTTATAGTTGTGCTTTTTAAAACTCTATGCATCGTCGCACGGCTTTTCTCTAATGCATTAGTAGCAGTGTTTAGACTAGTTTCGGAATTTTATAAAATAAAAATGTTATTATGGATTTACGATGGACTACGATAGTACGGTTCTTCCGTTCAAAACATTTTTTCATTTATGACATGACGATAATGATATAAAAATGTATTTGCAGAAGGAGTCTGTCGATCTGGATAAATCAGCCTATATTTCTTCTTGCCGCTTGCTTGTTTTTATTATTTTTTACATACATTGAGAATGTATCTACTTTTTCATCTACAGTATAACACATTTCGGTATGAGGACTGACAGTTTATAATAAATTAATCATTGTTTCATTTTGAAATGTCAGTTGCATAGCCACCTATGGTTACCCTTTCGTAGTACCATATGCCATTAAAGAACAAAACTAATGCTACACAATGTTATATATTAGAAATCAGGAAACGCAGGGCTACTCAAAACTATAAAAAAATACAGAATATAAACAGAAATATTGAATATAAAATTTGGTCTACATTTGCTACATTGTTGGTCGGTACAGATAAAATAATACAACTTTTATTTGAAACTTTTTTTGTATTCCCGAAATTAAAGCAAATAAGTGAGATTCAAAATATAATGAGAAACCCGGTACATTTTATCTTGTCATGTTATCCGAATTTTTGAATTTTTACTATCTCGGAACACAATGCATACCCCTTATGTTCGGTAGCTCATCATGAACTTTTGTTCTTTTAGTAACGAAAATATTCTAGATAGTCAATTTTTCAAATGCGAAAAAATATATTTTCGCTGTATCATTTCTAGAATTACCAGCATCAATCTCAAAATCATTGCTTAGACCAACCCTTAATAATAGTTCCTACTCCTGTCTTTACCCCATCCTCGAGAAACACAGACATTTTTGGACAATGAAAAGAAATGCCTTTCTTACCTTTTGGTTCTCGTAGAGAACAGACGTTGTTTTTCACCTCTCTTAAATTGGTTACCGTAGAAGACAAACACTCTGTTCTCCTCTCTTAGTGAACGACTACTCAACAGGGTTGCCAAATGATTTTTTTAATTCCCTAGAATTTTTGCCAAAATTTTCCTAGATTTCCCTAACAACTTGACAACCATATTTAGCCACAGAATAATAAACAATCAGAATGCCCACTCTATTTGAAAAAATAAGTACGCGCATCTCGTTCGTGCCGACGGAATTAGCCATGTTTTAAACGGAACCAGTGCTGTTCAGTGTCTTTTATCTGGTGTGCATAGAAAAATTAACCCGGTTTAATTTATTTACGGCAACTATTCGCTCTGTTCGTGACCATGGTAGGGGTACATTGAAACGATTCCAGCGTGCGTAGCGACGAAATATGACAAAATTGGACCTATCTTTTTACGCATAAATTTTATCAAAAATGTATGCACATACTGTTGCGTATTTAATTGTTCTAAAATAGCAAAATTGTGTAGTTCTTGCAGGTTCCCAAAGATTACATATAAATTAGAGAAAAGAAAAAGATGGATTCGTGCTATTAATATGAAAAAGTAAATATCACATAATTTCATTTTCGTGCAATTGAAATAGGAAAAATTTAAATAATTTACCTTGAATGATATTTCATAAGGCTCCAAGCTAACTGCAGATGACTTTAGCTTTTATATCATAACTTTTATTATTATTGTTTTTAATTATATACTCTTTTGCGTGAAAAACTTAATTTGCCAGTCCTAGATTTTTCCCTTTCTGCTCCGTTTGGGGTTGAAAATATGTATTATGATGGATTTTTAGAAACCCAGTTTTTAATACCACATCTATTGTGTACAGAAATTGAAAAATATAGTTAAAAAACTAATTATTAATAAATGTCAATTTCGCATGTATTTAACAATGTCAAACATATGTCATATGTTTAACCTGAAAATTGGGAGGTCCAAAACTGTCAGATGAAGGCGATAGGTGTCGCGTCAGTCACGCACGGAGCGAATAGACATAATATGCACTATTTTATTCTTACTTTTAGTTGAAGAATTGATTAAATTATTTCAAATCTACTAAATTGTGTCACAAATGTCTCAATTCGAGTCTATGTTTCCGTCATGATATGTACTATGAACTAAAGATAAACCCACGCGCACGCGATCAGTCTATCTCTTCTGCACGTGTGACGTCACTTAGCGACAAATATCACCAGAAATGTTCTGTTTTGCATGGATTTTGTCAGATTTAGTATTGTTTTATCGTTTATCTAGTACGTCGATAAATAAATGTGTGTACTTTATATAAAATATATTTCAGAATATTAAATTAAAGATAATTAATTTTATCTTTAATTTTTATCGCCAAGTGACGTCATGCGCATCGACCTACAAAATTTGGTTGCGAAGTGGTTTTATTTCAGAAGTCATAGTATCATGTGTTTCCGTCTAAAACATGGAGTTCGCGTGCTGACAAGCTTCAAAGGCAGCATCTGAAGTCCGTCAGACGGTCAAATATTTGATCAAACTAGTTTGAGCAAACTGATGTAATGACGTCACAATTACAGTTTGTTTAAATTTTAAAAATCTACCTGTCACACGATCATTCAAATTTGATCAAATTGACATATATCAAGAAAATTAATTGTCCTTCTTGCTTATTTTATTAGTTGTTTGGGCTTTATGTATGATTCTAATTTTGCTTATCATCCTCCTCAGTCCTAATCCCTTTTGGGATGTGATGACACCATCAGGCCTTCACAGTTTTTTTTAGGATTTCCTTCCATCCTTCTCTGTCCTGCACTAGTTGTTCGGCTTCATGTAACCCTTGGTTAATCAATATTTTTGTATGATCTACCCAACGGCTTGGAGATCTTCCCCTAGGTCTTTTTCCTTCAACTCTACCCGCGACTATCAGTTTTTCCATCGTGCCTGTTCTTCTAGCAATGTGTCCAAAATACTGCAAATATCTCTGTTGTATTTGTTTAAGCAATCTATCCTTTACTTTAAGTTGTTCTAGTATCGATACGAGTACTCAATAAGAAACAGTACCGTGTATACATGTGATACAATACCGCGAATCCATTAAAAAACAACTCGAGCTCATATGAGAACCATACTGCGTGTGGTTCTACCGTGAGTGTATATAACAGTGACATTAGTAAGCGTTTTATAAACTTATTTCAACGATTATCTTTATAACATTTAATTACCTCTCCTAATTATTTTGAAACAACCCTTTTAATATGACATTATTTTAATAATTTCGCATATGTATATGACTTTACGATGTATAAGAAGTTCTGTTTCAGTGGTTTAATATTTACGTACTCATTTTTTTATTTAAGGTGACGTTTGAGTTTGGCCTCTCAAAGGCCATACGCTTAACTTTAAATCAAGAAATCGAGATAGTGGAAAAACTCCAGGCTCATGAAAAATCATGGATTACGATACCCGAAGCAGATCTACAACGGAGCGATAACGATCCGCTGGTGGATAATTGTACTTGTCTGGAAGTCGAACTATCACATCCAATTCTAAAGGAAAACGTTAATATCATGGTACCACCTGACTGTTCAATCACGCATTTGATTGAAGTTTTTTATAAATATATGGGTAATGTTTTGCCGATCGTTATTTACGCTATTTCAGATGGAATTTTAAGTGACGCGGTAAGTTAACATATCCGAAACCTCTTTAAAACCATACCCAGTGAAAACGTATTTCCGGTATATCCTTAATATGATTTTGATGAAATTCTTACAGACCATAGGAAATTTCTCATCCAAACATTTTGCTGGACAAAAGACATTTGGACTTTTTGACAATTTTTGAAAACATTCAAATGGAATGATATCAGTGGCCAAACTGATTATCGGATATTTCAGTTTCTTCACGTCTATCAATTACTCTTTCCCATATTTTCATGGTGTAACTAAGAAGTTTAATGACCCTGTAGTTTGTATAATGTTGTATATCTCCCTTGTTTTTGTAAACATGCACTAATATACTGCTTTTCCATTCGTCTTGCATTTGTCCAACTTCCTCCTATCTCTCCTAATGCTTTTCACACTACCCCAGGAATACCATCTGGTCCAACTGCTTTAACTTTTTTGAAGTGCTTGCGCCACTTCCTTGTTTGTTATTTTAGTAACTATTGCTGTTATTGTGGCCGTTAAGTTAACTGGTTTTCTGTCAAATTCCTCATTTAATAAACTGTCAAAGTACTTTTTTCATCTCTTTTTTACATTACTGCTACTTTTGTTTCCTTTTTGGCGATCGTATAGTTTTGAAGATCTGTTTTCGACCTATTAATATAGCAATGGTGGATACTGCATGCAAATAGTTTATGTGAATTAGCATTTCTTGTTAGATTTTAAGGTTCCGCCCATCGGGAAATGTTGCTTCGACATTCGTAATAAGGTAGCTTCTTAATGTAAGAAGTTTATAATAGTCCTGTCCTTTAAATGAGGTCAATTATTGACTTCCCTCATTACTCCTGGGAAAAACAATCTAGGTTATGGAAGAAATATAAAATCTGAGTCCATCATAAGATCACCAATATTTTTGATTAACCAGTTTATGAGTTATTGCCAATTTTCCTTTCCTATCGCTATCTGTCGATAGCACAAAATTGACCGAAAAAAGGAAGTTAAGTTAAACTAAAGTATGAGTAATAGTTAACCATATATAGAGTGAATTTTATGTATGGAACGCCTCAATTATCTCGGTAACGGCTGGCATGATTTAATAAATTTTGTTGTGTAGGGGTCTTGTGCAATCTAATGAAATTTCTTATTTCAAATGTAACACCCTGTATATTTGTTGCGTTTTGAAGTTCCTAAGAAATACTGATTTTTTTCATGTAATGTTCCTTATACTTAACGCCATAATTTCTGAGTTCTTTTAATTAGGCTCCTCAAGTAGGGTAACAGTGGTGTTTGTGTGACGTTTCTTCTCCATGTGTTGTTTACTACCATGTGATATCATCTAATGATGCGTGTGCTTTCCAGAGTTCCTGTAATATTAAGGAGACTCTTTTTCTGTAGAGTAGTGAGACTGACTATATACATCTCTCTTACAGTCTTTCTCCAATACAGTACTGTTCTACAGAGTGGGCAAATGAAAACGTAAAAAACAAGAAACGCCCGGCCAGTCAATGTCTATTTTTAAGGGTACATATTCATTCTCAGATTGGCAACGCGGTAGCGATTAGATAAATACGTTAGTTGTTTTGGCTGTAATTAACCCGATTTATCGAGAGTTACAACGAGAAATAAACAATCAAAATTAGTTAGAGTGCAAAACAAAGTTAAAAACTAATCAGTAGTATAAAAAGTGGACTTCTAAAAGGTGAGTCAGTGAAATAATTATAAGCAATTAACCAGAATACACCGAAGAGGTTAACTGATAAGCGCGATAAAAAGCAAAACATTCACTGAAGTCTTCACCAATTTTTATGCGACGTTGCCACTGTGAGCAAAATATCCCAGGCGACAATATTTTAGCTGGTTGCAATAAATAAACGGTAGACACTGTTGTTGAAAGCTATCAACAAACTCACCACGGAATAAACATGAATCAAAACTATATACCATAATTGAAATGATGAACAAGTTGGCAAAAGATGTCACAGAGATAAAGAACGACCAAAAGAGCAGTAAAGAAGCAATAGAACAGCTCATCGAAGATAATAAAAAGTTAAGGAAGGAAAACAAAGACCTAAAACAAGAAAACAAAGAAATCAAAGAGGAATTGAAAGAAATCAAGGAGAATATGGAATTTATGGAAAAACAAAGGAGGAAAAACAATGTAGTGTTGAATGGTATATTAATAGATACCTATAATCGAAGAGTAATAAAAGAGGCGATGTTGAATATATTCAAAACATATATGGGTATTGAGGTTAAAATCAAAGATGCATACAAGCTGGGAACAAAAACCTGTCTGATCGAACTAGAAGATCAGGAAGAAAAAATCAAAGTCATGAAGAACAAGTACAGGCTAAAAAACTACAAGGAAAAAATATATATCAACAACGACACCACAATGAAAGAAAGAGAAATACAAAAAATTATAAGAATGATTGCACGAGAAGAGATAGATAAAGGCAACGACGTAAAGATTGGCACAAATAAATTGTGGGTAAATAAGGAAGAATGGAAATGGAATAATAAAGAAAATAAGATAGATAAACCAAAAAACTAATAAAAAACGGCAATGGAAAAACGATGACGAAACAGGCAATGAACAAGGACACGAATAGTAGTAAAGCACTATACAAAGACCAGTGTGGAAACTTAAAAAAGAAGGAAGATGAGAAACGCTTACAAATACACAAAGCAACTGAAATCAATGAGAATAAAAGTGTGAAAACAACGGCAACTCAAAAAACCAGAATACCTGAAGGATGGACAATAGGAACATGGAACGTAAGAGGTCTCAACGGCAAGGAGGCTGAACTTGTAGAAGAATTTAATAAGGCTAAAATAGACATACTAGGGATCACAGAGACCAAAAGAAAAGGTAAGAGCACACAGTTTCTGGAAAATGGCCATTTTTTAATACTCAGTGGAGCACCCCCGTCAGAAAGAGCACGTGAAGGAGTTGGTTGTCTCATCAATAGAAACTTGACTAGTAGCATTAAAGATTGGGAATGTATTACCGAACGGATCCTAAAAATTAGAATGACAACCGAAGAGAAGAAACTAGTCAATATCTTTGTTATATATGGACCAAACGATACTGAAAGAGCGAACACCAAGGACATTTTTTGGGAAAAGGCGACAGAGATCATAGATAGCGCAGAAGGTAACATAATAATAATTGGTGATCTCAATGGTAGAGTAGGCGTAAAAGACCAAGAATCCTCGGATGTACTAGGACAACACGGAGAACAAGTAAGAAACAATAACGGTCAACGAATTATAGACTTTTGTAGAGAGAATGACCTGATAATTATGAATTCCTTTTTTCAACACAAAGATGTGCACAAATATACCAGAGAAGTCAAGAGTAGAGGAGAAAAGTCCATTATTGACTATGTATTGGTTAACAGACCCTTAAGACAGTGTATCAAAGATGTCAGAGTCAGAAGGGGAGCAGAAATATATAGCGACCATTATCTGGTAGTATACCGAACTAGTATCGGTGTGGAACAAAAACGCACGCAGAAGGTACCAAGAAAACGAGACAGAACCCCAAGAAACCTCACCAACGCAGTTATTAGGTCATACAAATTAGCAGATAAGAAAATAGCACAGAAATACAAAAGCTGTGTGAACAATAGTCTACAAAAGCACTTAAACCAGAACTATGACTTAGAAGAAACTTGGCAAAAACTTAAAGAATCTCTCCTAGATGGGGGCAAGCAAATCTGCGGAATAGCTAAAATCAATAAAAACAGACAATGTACGAATTGGTGGAGTAATGAAATAAAAGAAGAGGTCAAATCCAAGAAGCTAGCGTGGAAAAAATATCTAGGGAACCAGAATGCAGAAAGCTATCAAAAATATAAGCAACAGAGGGCAAAAATAAAAGATATGGTGATTGAAGCAAAAAAGAAGAGCTGGGAGGATTTTGGGAATAAGCTGGAGAAAGACTACCACACTAACCAAAAACTATTTTACAAAACTCTGAGAAGCCTAAGAACAGAGAACAGACAACAGACACCAAAACAAATTAAAAACAAAGATGGCCACATCCTCTGCGAGAACGAAAGTATTATGAACAGGTGGAGAGAATATTTCAAAGACCTTCTGACCCAAAAAGACTATAATAATGAAATAGACAACACTGAAGAAAACACATCTGAGAACCCAAACCAAAACGAAATAACAATAGAAGAAATAAGAGAAATAATACTTAGGCTCAAAAGAGGAAAGGCAGCTGGCTATGATAAGATAACTGCGGAAATGCTAAAAAATATGGGAGAAAATGGAAATGAAATGCTTAGAAAAGTTTGCAATAAAGCATGGAATGAGAACAAGATCCCAAAAGACTGGGAAGTAGGCGTTATTCTACCCATTTTCAAAAAAGGTGACAGACGAGAATGCAGCAACTACAGAGGTATAGAATCCTCCTGAGTATCCCTTCCAAAGTTTACGAACGAGTACTGGAGAAAAGACTACTACAAGAAGTAGACCATAAGCTGGAGCAGTCACAGAGCGGTTTCAGGAAGGGAAGAAGCATCCATGACCATATTTTTACACTCAAGCATCTAATACAAAATGCACGAAATACAAGCACGGAACTATACCAAGCCTTCATAGACCTCGAAAAAGCATTTGATAGAACCCCGCGAACTGAAATAGACAAAAGCCTAAGAAACAGAGAAGTAGACGGCAAACTCAGAAAAGCTATTATGAGCCTATACAAGAACACAAGAAACAGGGTAAGAACAGATAATATGGAATCAGAAGAGTTTAGAGTCAATGATGGCTTACGACAAGGAGGTGTACTAGGCCCCATTCTGTTCAATATTGTACTAGATGATGTAATGAAGGAAACTAGAGAAGAAACATCGAGATTATTTGTTGGACATAGAAACCTGGAAATGATACAGATTGCGGAGTGCGCATTTGCAGATGACCTCGTCGTATTTGGAAGAAACGAGGACGCACTTAAGAGAAACCTCCAAATATGGAGAGATAAACTTGAGAAACGCAATCTGAGAATTAATGAAAGTAAAACCAAAGTGATGGTATGTGGGAAAACAGACCAACATACAAACATTAAAATCAATAATTATACTTTAGAGCAAGTAGAAACCTTCAAATACCTGGGAGTGCAACTAGAGAGTAGGGGTACACAAGAAGCAGAGATAAATAATCGAATAGCAAACGCTTCCCGGATATACCACGCAATTAAGAGCACATTCCTATCGAAAAAAGAAGTATCCCAAAAAGCAAAGATAGCTATCTACAACACAGTTTTTGTACCTATCTTAACATTTGGATGTGAAAGCTGGACGCTCACCACCAGACTAAAAAGTAAACTGCAAAGTATATCAATGAAGTATCTAAGAATAGTACTAGGGGTGACCAGAATGGACAGGATGCGGAACAATGAAATAAGAGAACGCCTTAAAGTCCAGTCAATAGAGAAAAAAATCGAAGAAGCCCAACTGAGATGGTACGGCCACATGGTAAGGATGGATAAAAAAAGCCAAGTGAAACAAGTGTGGGAAGCGAGAAGAGCCTTGAAAAGACCGAGGGGCAGACCCATGAAAACCTGGGACGATGAAATTGCCGCCATCCTAGACAGGAGAGGAGTCACCAAGGAGCAAGCGAAGAAGTTGGCAAGCAACAAGAAGAATTGGAGGAAGTTTGTACACGAAAACTAAAAGAGACTTTACACCCAACACCTTAGGGTAGAAGGGTTATTGATTATATATATATATATATATATATATATATATATATATATACATATATATATATAATATATATATATATATAACTTTCAAGTATGCCTTCTTCCTAAAATCTGATACAGATAGTGGTATCGTGTGATATATTATTTTAAAGGTTATTTGTTTGTATTTTAAATGGCACCTAATATAGTTCTCGAGAAATTAATTTTTAATATGTAGAATCCAACAAAAAGTTAACTGATAAACATTTTTAACAATTCGCTAAAAGAAAGTTCAAAATAGCAGGTAAGTTTAAGAAATAAATAGTTTAGTACTTCCTCCTTCATTTCCGTAAACATTGTAGTTTATTATCAAAATGGTGTACACTATTCAACAAAGAGTTGAACTTATTTTCCCTTTCTTTCGAATTAATGGTAGTGTCAGAACATGAAATGGCATGAAAGACATGTCATTACTTTTTACTTTGATTATTCACTCGCATTATCCTTTTCCATTTGTTTTAAACGTTTCAACGTTTGGCATTCCTTTCTCCAGGTAGCTGTAGCTTCCTCCGTGGTTGGTGTTAGTTGTTGCCCTGGAAACCATCAGGGTTTTCTAACTCTAATTCCACAAATTGGTTGCATTGCTCCTGTAGTGATCCTTTCCCAAGTTAATATGCTCCTTTTCTAACTTGGCTGCACCGTACTAAATACGACCAACAGTCAGAAATACGTATATACGGTTGCCTTCTATCGATATACCATTTTTGGTGTTCTGTTTTGCGAGACATGTCATTACTTTTTACTTTTATTATTCACTCGCATTATCCTTTTCTATATACATATATATATATATATATATATATATATATATATATATTGCTTATTGTTATATTTCTTTTAGAACATTCAAGAGATTAAAAAACTAAAAAACTATATACAGAGTCCCATTTTTATTTGTTAATTTGATAACTAATGAAACTTTGAGTACAGAGTCTCTCACTGAATCGGAACAACATTTAGTTGAGTCAGAAAACGAGCAAGAATATACAAATTTACAGAATCTACGTGATCAATTAGTAAGACTGGGTAAGTACTACATTATTTATCTAATAAATCTTCATTTAAGGAAATTTGTCATAAGAGTAACTTTAATTGGTATTGAGAGGAAGCCATAAAGACTAGATACAAAATCTAGAAAATACTTTGAAAAAACTTAAAGTAAAAAGAAATGTATTATATTAGGTTTAAAACATTTTCCAAATCAAAGTTTGGGTGAAAAGAAATTATTTCTTCATGAAAGAATCAGTTTAATTTTACGGAATTATTGTTTTTCTCTCTTCAGTTGCGACCCCCCGCCCCCCGTGACCAGGGACAGCGAGTGTAGTATCCATTGTGATATCGTGTAGGGATGTGTAGTTCACCATCGAAATAGTTCTAACTAATTGTTAGAATAATAACTTAATAACTAATTGAACTAGTTCATTAATTTTCACAAAACTAGTTCACTGCGAACGATTTGCATTATAAATTATGTCTCAACTTCTAAAGAGGAAAATAATGAATGAATAAATTAGAACATATATTTATTATTTTGTGAATGGATGGATTAACTAGTTTAAAAAAAATGCCGATTAGCCTCAGATAACAGATTCATAATTCTTCTGAATGTGACAATAACATTAAGTCTTATCTTAATGTCATAATGGTTCGGATCTTATGCCCATGTATTGGCTTGGATGTTGCCATGCTGTGTTGTTTTTTGTATTGTAATTTTGACATAAAAATTTTAGTTGTGGTTAAAATAATTGAGGCATTTACATAAAATATAATTTTATATAAAAGTGAGAATGAAAATGTGTTATTTAATGTTCCTAGAAAATTCACTGATTTTTTTTTGTAAAGGTTCTTTTAGAAATAACCTAACTATAAATACCTATGAGTTTAAATATATGTACGTAAATATAAAAATAAATCATACTTGAACCATATTTATATTTAAAACGGTTTATAAAAAACAAATCTTAATAATTTTTTGCAAATACAAACTAACTAATCATATAATAATTTAAACCATTTAAACCTAAACATACGAACGAAAGAAATAGTTCCGAAGTACTTGTACGGTAGTGAACTAAGTGAACTAGTGAAAGACTGAAAGAAAACGGGCGGCTAGCGCCGAGCTTGTGTGATGATTGAGACGAGACATCTGGCAACAAGTTCTGTTAGACCCCTTTTAGACGAGGATACTGTATGTGAGATACTGTATGCGAGATACAGAATTTGTGTCTGAAAGCGTTCATTTAACGTAATGTTTCTTCTGTATCTTGCATACGCATTCGGTATCTGGCATACTGTATCCCTCGCGCGTCCCGTGTGAAAAGCTTCATTTGAGTCTATGTAATATCTGCGTCTCGTATACGCGTATCTCGGATACAGTATCCTCGTCTGAAATAGGTGTTAGGGTTGGATTTCGATGTCGGTCCTACAAATAGTTCTTTCGCGAACTAGTTCACTGAACTAGTTCATTTTTGTGAAATAGTTCTGTTGAACTAGTTCATCTAAAAGAACTAATAAGCACACCTTTAATATCGTGTATTGTCCGTCTCCAAAGATCTCATGTCTCTGGTCATTTTTTATTTCATGATGTTTGTGTACATTCGTAAAAATCTTAAGGACTCGCGACTGGGTAGTAATTTATACTCCTCTAAATACCAAACAAAGTTTAGATAACTAATTGACTTAAAATTTTTACAGGGTTTATAGATTTTACTGATAATTCAAAGACTGATATTACGAAAGCCAAAAAGAATGCTTTATGCCTTGAATGCTCTTTAGATACTTTGATAGGTGATAAAAATATTAATGAAGACTTCCTGGAACACATTCGCAACGTACTCAAATTTACGATATTTCGGTTAGCTGCCCGGATGAGTGATGTAAGTATTTTTATGTCTATGTATGTAAAGCATGTCTCCTTTATATCTGCATAATAAAATGAATACGTTAATTTCACAAATGATAACAATTGCAAAAAACTGTACTAAGCAGTCAAGAACATACTTTAACTGTAAAAAGGGGACACATAATATCTCAAAAATCCCATACTCTATGGGTCTTACTTCAAAAATAACAAAGATACTGGGTACTTTATCTATCTAAGAAAAAGCTTAAGGCTCAAAAAACAAAAGAAATTTTTTTTTTAATTTCTAGTTATTTTTGTCAATAACTTATTTATTTTCTATTTTACACTATAAAGTAGTATGAATAAAGTTATAGACAATTTCATTTGCTACAAATAGTGTCTAACAACATTTTCTGTAAGGTTCCTAGTTTAATAGATACATCACGAAAATCCTTTGCACCCCTTATTTCAAGTTGCGGGTATTCAAACCTATATTAGGTCCATCTATAACAGATAGTGAGGTTACACGTTCAATACAAACGGCAAAAAATGGAAAAGCACTTGGCCCCGATGAAGTAAGTGCTGAAATACTCTAAAGTTTTTGGGAGAAAATGGAATTAAAGCTGTGTGTAATCTCTTTAACATAATTTATGACACTGGGATATTACCAACTGATTGGTTAAAGTCGGCATTTGTCACAATACCTATGAAACATCGTCCAAACACATGCGGTGATTATCGGACAATAAGTCTGATGAGTCACGTTTTGAAGATCTTCCTGCTAGTAATACACAGCAGAATTTAGACGCTGTTAGAGGACAGAATTAGCAATACTCAATTTGGGTTTAGGAGTGCCTTGGGTACAAGAGAAGCCTTGTTTAGTATACAGGTGCTAGTACAGAGATGCAGAGATATAACTCAAAATGTGTACATTTGTGCAATGGATTTTAAAAAGGCTTTTGACAAAGTCCGACATAACAAAATGCTAGAAATATTGGAAACAGCTGGAGTGGACGATAAAGATCTACGAATAATTACAAATCTATACTGGCATCAAGCATCAAGAATAAAGGTTGAACAAGAACTGTCGGATAAAATAAATATAAAAAGAGGAGTGAGACAAGGCTGTATATTGTCGCCTTTACTTTTTAACTTATATTCGGAGGAAATATTTAAGGAAGCCTTAATGGAGACAACCGAAGGTATTATTGTGAATGGAGTAACCGTCAACAATATTAGATATGCCGACGATACGTTAGTGCTTGTTAATTGCGGAGAAGACCTTCAAAATCTAATGAACAAAATAAAACAGACTTGTGATCAGTATGGATTAAAACTCAGCGTTAAGAAAACTGAATATATGATAGTTAGCAAACAAAATTATATACAGGATGACGGTATAAAAGTCGGAGATGCCACACTGGACAGAGTAGAGAATCTCGTGTATCTCGTCAGTAATATTAATGAGAGCTGTGATCCATTCGCAGAAATTAAAAGCCGAATAGAACAAACCCGAGCTGCCTTTGTAAAAATGAGAAACGTACTTTGCAGTCACGATCTTAGCATTGACCTCAGAGTTCGAATGACATGTTGCTACGTCTTTCCGGTCCTGCTGTATGGAATGGAAGCGTGGACTCTAACTGAGGCTATCCTTAAACGCTTGACAGCCTTTGATATGTGGGTATACAGACGACTACTGAAAATAAGCTGAGTCGACAGAGTTAGAAATGAGGAGGTCCTTAGACGGCTGAACCAAACAACACTACTTGTCAATATAATAAAGAAACGCAATCTGAAATACTTCCGTCATATTATGAGACACCCTGAAAAATATGATCTTTTACATCTGATCATTCAGGGAAAGATCCAAGGTAATCGTGGTCCTGGTAGAAGAAGAACATCATGGCTGAACAATCTAAGGCAATGGTATGAAAAATCAACTACATCGTTATTTAAAGCTGCTGTCAATAAAGTCACGATAGCGAATATGGTAGCCAACATGATATCCAACGATCGATAACGGTCATGGAACTAGAAGAAGAAGAAGGGTATTCAAGAATGCGGTCAATTTTGGAGCGCTGTGAAATACGAAGAAATTAACGAAATTAAACAAATTGGTAGTGAAAATTATTCTTTAACAAATCCTCTATAATATTACTTTAATGTCCTTTTTTGAGAAATTACCACAAAAAAAGTTATGAGGCCCATAAGAAAATTTGTTCAAACTTTTTTAGTTATTTTTGTTTATAACTTATTTATTTTCAATTTTATGATAAAAAGTAATAGGAATAAGTTGTAGAGATTTTAATTTGCTACAAATAATATCAGTAAAGGTAATGGGGGACACTTACCTCAACTTCAAATATATTAAGCCCCGTATTTATAGTCGGTACTCAAGATCGTGCTCGAGAACGTGCTTGGCCAAGTCGAACTTACGTCAAAGTCATGCTCAAGTATTTGTTGTGTTCTATAAACGATACTTCGGGTATTCTCGTACAAGTTTGATCTCAAGCAAGAAAAAATTAGTACGGTAAAAGTAAATTACGAATAAACATCGAAAAAAAGAAGATTCTGTCAATTTTCTCATAATTGTGACTAAACTTTTAGCGCCAAATTTAGTTTATGCTACTTACTGAAATTTTGTGTTTGATATTAATATTTTGTGTTTGAAATTAATACTGGATATTAACTATTTTAAGGTATGTAATATGTTATAAAAAATATTTATTCTACAGAATTAATTTCTATTTTGTTACTGTGTCTGAGGCATAATTTTTGATGTTCAAAATATATGCTTATATATGTATATTTGTTTTTGGATATATTTATATGTATGTGATGCGTTACAATCATTATAATTATATTGCATGTGTAAGCCGTACGCTAAATAAATTGGTTATGTAAATTTTAGATGAGTGGAAATAGCAGTAAATATGCACCTTACTCAACAAAGGAAAAAGTTCTCCTAATTCAGCTGGTAACAGAAAACGCTGTGGTAGAGAACAAAAGGACAAACTGTTTTCCACTTCAGTAATGGAGAAAAATATGGCTTGGGAGTTCATAGCAACAAATTATAACTGCCAACCTGAGGTCAACATCTTGCTGCCTGATTATACCATCAGGCAGCAAGACGAGATTCATAGGATGAAAATGAAGATTTTAGAAGAAGATATGCTGAAAGCAAAAGCCTTAAGAGAAGCAGCTGAGAAGGAGAGGCAGAGAGCTATTGATGAAGCTGAATTAGCTTCATTGAAGTTAATAGACTATAAAAAGGGTAATTATAGATTTTATCATGTTTGACTTGTCACTGGAATTTGTCTATAATTAATTGTTTATTTTCAGGCGCTAGAAGATCTTTTTCCTTTGTTGGATACTCTGCAGTTTTAGGGAAAATGTAGAAATAAGCCATAATATGTTTATTTATTGATATTTTTCAATCTATATGACCAGAGGCTGTTATCATAGATACAAAATTGTGATTTATTTTCTGAAAATAAATCACAATTTTGTATTTTTGGTAACAATATCTGGTCATAGAGATTAAAACATCAGTAACTATAACATACAAAACATTGTGGCTTATTCCCAACTGAAGATAGTGTTTGGGAAGTGTTAACTCGGTCTTTCAGTGGCCTTTTCACTTTAGGAGCACTGAATGTCAGAGTAGGGTCTGTTTTAGCAGGTAGGCATTTGACGTAGAATCAGCGAAGAGAGGATGTTTTAAAGTACCTCGGGAACTATCGCCGGAACTACGAAGAATGAATCCTGCACTAAGGTCAGTCAGGCGGCATCCTGGACTGAGATGTCTTAAGATTTCAGACCCTCCCCCCTCTATAAAGACGAAAAAAATATACTTTGTGTTGTAAAATCATGTTTATTTTCTTTCTATTCTCGTTCCTGTTTATTTTATTTCTAGATAGTATTTAATGTAGATTTAAGATTGTTAATATTTTAATTTCTGCTGGTAAGATATGGTTTTACCTTTTTATTTGTTGTATAGTCTTTTGTTTTTTGATTATGTATGTTTCTTTTTCAGTTTTTTTTAAGTATTGATTGCAATACATAGTTCATAATATTTTTATGTTGTTTACAGAAAATTACTAAAAATTTTTAATAAATTGCTGCTACTTCGATATATATATATATATATATATATATATATATATATATATATATATATATATATATATATATATATATTTCATCCTCGAAAGAGCTTAAACTAGCATTCAAATGAAGCCATCGGTTAAAATTAAATGAACAATAGTATTCTTACTGTTTTTCTTGTATTTTTTTGTCTCGTTTCTCTTGTTTAGTTTGTAATCTTTAATGTTAAGTTATTATAGAGTTTTTATAACATCCTTTAAAAAATCTACAAATTGTTTTTGTAAGTATGAACCCTGGTGGTCGTTTACTTATATGCTAAAATCTTTTTTATTTGTAGTGAACTGATGATGCTTTTAAAAATAAAAGCGAAACATATTCAAATAAATCAATAAAGTAGTTGACGACTTATTTGCCAATTATTGACTGATAAAACCTCTGATATTCAACCATTGAATATATTTTAAATATATATATATATATATATATAATATATATATATATATATATATATATAAAATTACTTTATATTTTTGTAATGTTCTAATTGTTGTACAGTTTACTCCTGATAGCTAAAGCTATAAAATAAAATAATCTATTTTACATTGTATTTAATTATAACTATAATTTTTTAAATAAAGAATATTAATATTCTAAATTTGTATTAATTTTTATTTGGTAAGGAAAGGTTTTATGAAAGGAATAAACACTTAATTAAAATGAGGGAAACTCCTTGTACTCAGAGAAGACATACTTACTTGAGTTGTCTGAGCATAGTGAGGGAAAACCCTCATTTATTTTAAAATTAAAACAAACACATTTTTATAAATAAGACAAAAACATACTATATCTAATATAATATAGGTATTTAATTCTCAAAATAAATAACTTTGAATTAAACAAAGATAAGATATAAAATAAAAAAAACCA